TAATACGGGTGCCATTTATGTGGGAGTTATAGGTTTAAGAAGGTGCTAGAAAATCGTGTAGGAATTTGACTTTTCATATTCCGCGTAATTCGGTTGATACTATATAGTCTTTAGTATTTCTATCATAATGTTTTCTCCCGATATCCGATTGAGGTAATTCAAAGTGCGTTGGAAACCTAACTCAAAGAGCTACAATTTTTCTTTAGATATCATTTTCCAAATCAAATGCTTTCTATGTCAAAAATGGGTCTCAAATGAGACTAAAAATTTGAAGTATACTTTAATCATCTAATATTCATGTCTTAGTGCCACAAAGGTGTCTAGAATTATTTGGGGTTCTACAAATTTGGGCTAAAAAACACCAAAGTTACCTATTAAAGACTTGTCAACTAGATGTTTGCGGACCTCATTAGTAAAATCATGAAGGTATACATGGATGATATGCTCATAAAGAACCTAAAAAATGACCATGTCAAGCACCTAGATGCTACTTTCCAAATCATGAAGAGGTAAAAATGTGGTTATATCTTCTTAAGTGCGCCTTCAGATAGAGATGAGGTCACCTCAAAAGTTAAAAGAGATATCGAGCCTCATCGAGCGAGTGGCAGCCCTGAGGAGTTTCATTTCAAAAGCTAACAATAAATGACTTATTTTATTTAAAATTCTCAAAGAAAGAAAGAAGTTCCAATAGATAGATGAGTGTGAAGCCTCCTAGGAATTGAAAAAAATACCTTGGTCAGCCCCTTTCTATATAAGCCCAATTATTATGTATCCCTGTTCGTTCGTTTCTTTAAAAACTTAATATTGATGTTGTGAGCTTACTTGGTGTATCCTATAGCCAATCAGAATGCAGTGGACAATTATTATTTGAAACCCGGTCGAGTCCTACTGGTAGTATCGCAAAGCGATTAACATTAATATTAACATTCATCATTTAACTGCAAAGCGGTTAACATTAATATTGAAACATTCATCATTAAACATTGGTCGGGTGCGCGGTCCCCCACGCCCCATTTCCCACTCACACCTTTCATGGCATAGACATATTGATGCAGCACCAATAGAAATATTGAATAGAAAGTGAGAAAACCATATAATAGGAAGAAGAAATTAGGGGAACGGATGGAAGAAGGGGGAAACACAATAGAAGAAGGAGAAAATAATGGAAAAAAGAGGAGAAGTGGGCCACAAGCCACCAATAATTATTATTCATTCATCAACTGAAAATTACAATGCAAAATAGGTTTAAATAGTAAAGCAACTCTAACAAGATTGGGTCCGAGCTCATACAAGTCCAAATTTTAAATAATAGTCCAAAAATAAATAGAATAAGTAAACGTCCGATGTCCTCATCAACTCTCCCAGGGTGGGAGAAAACTCGACCCTGTCGAGTGGATATATCACTACAGGTTGTCGTTAATCTCCCAACCATAAGCTGAGTGGTTGGGCAACCTTCTTCCGACGTCTGTAAAAATGTGTCAGTGGAGGTCTGAACCTGGTGTCCTCACCAACTCCCCTTGGATGAACGGGAGGCGATCTAGGCCAAGGAAGATCCTGTTGACTCCGATAAAGCTCCAATAAATCTGGATCCAATTGCTGTAGTGTCTCTCTGGAGATCTATGTACAATCAGAATCTAGTCGACCAACCCAACGAACGAGGAAGCGCTGAACCTCTCCATCATTAGTAAACACAGTTTTTCATCTAAAATAGCATCAATTTTATATGTGTGTGCTGTGAGAGGTGGTAGTGGGTGAGAAGTGGCCAAATAGTCGAGATCAGGGTCCACAAAAAGAGGTAACAAATGATCATCTAAAGGAATGAAATGACCTTTATAAGCTACTAGGTCCTCAACATTGAAAGTAGAACGGTAACCGAGATGTGGTGGAATGTCAACAACATAGGCATTTGGACGAACTTGCTTTAAAATCTTAAAAGGACCAGGACTACTAGCTTGCAATTTGGAGGCGGGTCCATGTAGACGCCGCTCTAGCCTAATGCGGACCATAACGTAATCCCCAACGTTAAACTCAATATGTCGTTTATGCAAATCAGCTTGGAGTTTATATTGTGCATTACTAGCTTCAAGTTGTTTATTGATCTCAATATGCAAAGCACGAAGATGTTGTGCAAATACTTCGGCTGACACTGACACTCTAGCCTGTGGGGACATAGGGATGAGATCTAACGGTTTCCTAGGCTTGTACCCATAAACGGCTTCAAATGGACTCATACCTAATGAACGATTTATGGAGCTATTATACGCAATTTGAGCTACAGGAAGGATCAAATCCCAATTTTGAAAATTCTCCCGTACCAGACAACGTAATAGGTTACCAAGACTTCGATTAACTACTTCAGTTTGACCATCAGTCTGAGGGTGGTAGGCCATAGAAAATTTCAATTTGGTACCCATCTTTTTGCCATAAAGTTCTCCAAAAATGGCTAGTGTAACGAATATCCCTATCGGACACAATTGTCTTAGGAAGCCCATACAATTTAACAATCTCATTAAAGAACAACATAGCCACCTTAGACGCATCTTTTTGCTACAGGGGATAAAATGAGCCATTTTTGAAAAGCGGTCGACAACCACAAAAATAGAATCATGTTTCTTTGGGGTGCTTGGAAGGCCTAATACAAAATCCATACTAACATCTTGCCAAGGACAATTGTGGACGGGAAGAGGGGTGTATAGGCCTGTGTTCTGCCTCTTCTGTTTACTCAATTGACAAGTGTTATAGGTACTAACAATCTTAGCCACATTTTTCTTCAAGCTAGGCCAATAGAATTGGCGTTATACTTCCTCTATGGTCTTATCACGCCCAGAGTGACCGACGAGACCACCCCCATGAATTTCCCACACTATGAAATCTCATACAGAAGTTCGAGGGATGCACAATTTATTGGCTCTAAAGAGATAACCCTCCTTAAGTCGGAAGCCATCTATAGCGCCTGATTGTCCCCTTTGTAAATCAAGAAAGATATCTTTAAAATTGGAACATGCCTTGTAATCCTCCTTAAGCCTTTCAAAACCGATGACCTTGACACTCATGATCGACAGAAGGGAGACACGACGACTTAATGCATCAGCTGCTTGGTTTACCACGCCCTTCTTGTGTTTTAAAACAAATGAGTAGGCCTGCAAATATTCGATCCAACGACCATGCTTAGAGCTTACTCGTTTCTGGGAGTTGAGGTAACGGAGGGCTTCGTGATCCGAATAAAGTCTGGGGCAACAAATAGTGGTGCCAATAGCGCAAAGTCTGGACTACCACATGCAGTTCCTTATCATAAGTTGAGTACCGTTGTTTGGCTTCATTTAACTTCTAACTGAAGTAGGTAACAGGGTGACGATCCTGACTCAAGACTCCGCCTATACCTACCCCGGAGGCATCACATTCAACTTCAAAGACTTTGAAAAAGTCGGGAAGACACATAACAGGAGCCTCCGTCATTCGCTTCTTGACTAACTTAAAGGCCTTAGCGACCTCTTGTGTCCAATGAAACTCCCATTTCTTCATGCACTTCGTGATAGGCGCCATAATAGTGCTAAACCCCTTGATAAATCGACGATAAAATGTAGTTAAGCCGTGAAAGCTTCTGACGTCTTGAATAGCTTTGGGCTCAGGCCAGTCAATAATCGCCTGAACCTTAGTAGGGTCAGCAAATACCCCTGTCGAGGAGACAATGAACCCCAGAAAAATGACTGTATCGGTGAAGAAAGAGCACCTCTTGACGTTAGTATACAGATTAGTTGCACGAAGGGTAGAGCAAACTTGTGTGAGGTGGTCACGGTGTTTCTTCGTAGTCTTACTATAGATGAGGATATCATCAAAGTAGACAACAAGAACTTACCCATGAAAGCTCGAAGAGTTTGCGTCATTACCCGCATAAGGTACTTGGCGCATTGCTGAGCCAAAAAGGCATGACCAGCCATTCTTAAAGACCGTCTTTCGTTTTAAATGCAGTCTTCCACTCATCACTCGGGCGAATTCAAATTTGATGGTGTCCACTCTTCAGATCAATCTTCGAAAAGATTGTGGCACCAACCATCATATCCAACATATCATCAAGTCTAGGAATGGGAAAACGATACTTCACCGTGATCTTATTGATCGCACGACTATCTACACACATCCTCCAAGAACCATCCTTTTTGAGCGTCAATAGGGCGGGGACAGCACACGGGCTTAAACTTTCACGAATGAGTCCTTTGTGAAGGAGGTCATCCACTTGCCTTTGAAGTTCAGCGTGCTCGGTAGGATTCATCCTATAATGAGGCAAATTTGAAAAGGATGCCCCTGGGACGAAATCTATGACATGTTGAATATCTCGTAGAGGAGGCAGATGATCAGGTAGGTCCTCCGGAAAGACATCTTGAAACTCTTGGAGGATCGACTGGACTTCAACAGGGCTCTCTATTATGGAGTGGGGTGAAACCTCCATGACCACCCAAGCGAACACAATTGAGTCACCAACAGGTGTACACTCAAACTCCATAGGACTAATGATATGCAATCCCTTTCGTTTCACACTCTTCTTCGTTTCCAGTAAGCCAACAGGCTTTGGGGGCAGAGAGTTAAGGTAAATCTTCTTTCCATTAAACACGAAGGAGCAGGAATTAGATCGACCATAGATGGTTACATCTAGGTCAAATAACCAAGGTTGTCCCAGGATGATGTCCCCGATATCCATTGAAATGACGTCACACTATATATGGTCCTTATACTCGAGAAATTGGATAAGGACTAAACAACGCTCCTTGACAGCTATAGAAGAGGTATCAACCCAAGAGACGCTGTATGGATGAGGGTGAGGAACAGACTTCAACCCTAGACGGGATATAGTAGCCATCGAAACCCCATTAATGCAGCTGTCACTATCCACAATAACTTTACAGCCCTTGTTATTAATCTTGATATAAGTGTGAAAGATGGCATGACGACGACAATCATCGGCATCCCTAGGCTGGGTAAGAGTGCAACGGACGACACCGACTCTAGGCGTATGGGGGAATAAGGGGACTAGCTTGAATACAACCTAAGAAGGTATCTTCACTATCCTCCAAGACATCAAACTCTTCTAACTTAGGCTCATAAACCTGGTCCTCAAGTGGCTCGTCGACTATACCTTCATGCTCTTCCATAACTAGGGCTCGGCTAGGACACTTAGAAGAAATGTGACCAAAACCCTTGCAGTTAAAGCATTGCAAACGGGAGGACGTTCTTGAAAGCTCAGAACCTCGACCTTTACTATCCAATGTGAGGGTAGTATTAGAAGGAGGAGGTCCTAAAATAGACTTAGGGGATGGAGTGGATGCAGAAGAGGTTGTGGTGCGGGAGTCACTACGATTTCTATTCGGTGTCCTAGTCTCTAACTCATAATCCCGAACGAAAGAGTAGGGGTGGTCAAGAGTGGTGACGCCTCTAAGGATAAGCTCACGTCTAAGATCATCCCTTTGGCCTTGCCTTAACCTACTCCAAGTCATGGCCTCATCCTCAACGACTTGACGTTTCATTCGAAACTCATCAAACTGAGAAACGTATTCGGTCACAGGTCGACTGCCTTGCGTAAGTGTATTCCATTGATCCAGCAAGTTACCCCTGTAAGATTGAGGTAGATATTTTTCTTGAAGGCGACTCTTCATTTCGTCCCAACTCCCAACAGGGGGAGCATGGCGCCTCTCTAGGAGGTCCTCGACATTTTCCCAAAAGAGTTGAGCAGTGCCAGTTAATTTCAAACTGGCAAATTGTACCCTCCGATCTTTAGGGACCCCATACCAGGCAAAGAAGCGATCCATATCACTAACCCATTGATTGAATACACTAGGATCTAGACAACCATCAAATGTAGGGGCATCTAATTTAATATTTTGAAAGAGGCGCTC